GTTGGTTATCCTGGTTCGTTTGAACTCAAACTACTCCAGTCCACCCGCTAAGGTGATTTCGCCTCTCTCAACGAGGTCTTAATCCACTAATCAAACTTGATTACACAGATCGATAACAACCGTCAAATTCTTCTTGAGTTTAAACCACAACCCAGATTTCTCAAGGTATTACACAATACAATATTTTAAAGCGTGTACAATATGTGTTTTCTAACAAAACAGTATCACACAAGTGATGTATTACACAAATGAAATTCAATAGATTAAAGGTGATGAAATTTCTCGTTTTTAGTGCACAGCAAAATCGTAAATGATTTCTCCTTCAAGTCTTGTTTATACAGGCAACACATGTGAGGTGCTTTTGGAATGTTGATAAATAGTAATTAAAGAACTTTACAAACATAGAGTAATTAAAGAACTTTACAAACATACAGGCAACACAGAAGATGAATGTTATCATTGGGTCTTTTACTTCTTTCCAGAACTGTGCGAAACTGAATAACATAGTTCTTGTTCGCATCGTTTAGTGCACTCAGAAGTTGTAGCTTTAGAACTTCTTTATATAAGCGTGTTACGCAGATTTTGCTTTCTACATAAGATGTCTAGAATCAGAGTTTAAACAACAATCTAACTCACCTTCTGTGCTTCTTACATCAGAACTTCCCTGCAAAACAAAAAACTTATTTATGGAGCATAATTGTTCTTTGAGTGTTTGTTATCATCAAAACTCTTACAAGGGGTGTAAAATCAAACTATGTTCTAACATATGTGTGATACGGTGGGAGAGAACTGACTGTTTTTGGAATGCTGGTTTGCATTTTGCGTTTGTTTTCGCAAAATGTCGCGGTAAGCAAGAGTCGCCACCGACTTTTATTTTATCCAACAAGGAAAGGAAAAAAGCACAGAAAAATTCCTTTTTCGAGATATTTCTCGGGTCCGGGGGGTAGATTATAGAAAGGGAAGGTGTTAGCACCCTTTCTATCCGTGGTTATCCACGGGCTCTTAGGTACTTGCTCATATTGTTTTCAAAATTGCTTTCTTTGTGCTTGCGGGTTTGAAAAAGTTTTTGTTTGAAACTTCGATTTAACTCTTGCTTCTTTCCTCAAGAGCGTACGAAGTGTTTTTGAAAACTTTGTTCGAAAAGTGTAAGTGTGAAGAGTTTTTTGTTTGTTTTTTAAAGAGCAAGTACTTAAGAACCATCTACCTACTCGAAAAAGGAATCGTTCTATGTTATCTTCCTTTAGACAATGCTATCCCACTATTGATGAGTAGGTAGCACCGTCGTTGGAGTTTAAGGGTCAATTCGAATGAGGGACATACGGTCACTAAAGCAATGTTAGGACGCCTTAGCGGTAACCCTAATGTCTTAGATCATTTTTCCGAGGCAACCATTTCGAGGCAACTATGATCTTTGGACAAGAGGGCGACCTCTAAAACTTCCTATACTTAATGATCGCGTACGAAGGCAACCAATTGGGGGTGTACCCTAAGAGTGCGCATGTGCGAGTGTGTTGTTTTTCAGTTATTTTATCTTTGTACATGTCAATGGTTATCTATGTTGATTTTAGGTTAAACATTAGATCTTGTCATGCATTCCCTATTATCAAACATCTAACAGTTTATGAGTTGCGGAAATTAAATTTCGGAATTTAAACTAACTATTACAAGGCGTCGGGTATTTACATCGCCAAAAGCAACCCTTGAAATTAAAATGCGGAAAATAAATAAAGCGATAAAATAGTAACGTCCTATTAAACTATTACATCCCAGGAAACAGATACAATATTGAAATAAAATGGATCGTGTGCGAGAAATTAAATCGGGCGAGTTCTAGGGTTTTGACCCTTTTGATTATTTAAGAAAAGATTTTTTTGTTTATTTTTGAATTAAAAGAAATTAAACTAAGTTAATTATTGAATTAATAAATAAATTAATTAATAAAAATATTTTTGGGTTTTTGATATTTAAAGAAATAAAAATAATTTTAGTCAATGTTAATAAAAACCTAATTGTCTAAGTTAATTTTAATTATTGCAAAAAAGATATTAAAGTTATTCCTAATTAAACTAAATTAATTAAATTAATTTTATTAACAAAAATAAAATGCTGAAATTTAATTTTAATAAACAAAATATTTTTTTGGTTTTAATTTTATTAAGAAAAAGTTTTAATTGGTTAGTTAGTAATAAAAATAATAACAATAAATAATTAAAGAAAAATAAAAGGAAAATAGAGAGAGTTAGGGTTTGGGCCTGAAAGGAGGTTTGGATAGCAAGTTCAAGGCCCAATAGGCGCTAGCCTGGTTGACCCTGTGGGATTCCCTGTGCGCCTTTGACTTGGTTCCACGGTGGACATTCCATCTGGACCACCAGATCTGGCCTGGGGCCATCTGGCAAGCCATTGAGTGAGGGAGTATGATATGCTGCACGCTTGGTATTACACTGAATAACCTGTTGAAAAATAAGAATAAATGCATGGGGGACTTGGGATTCGAACCCAGGTCCTATTGGATTTTGAACATACGCCACTACCACTGCACCACTATGCGTTAGTTGTTATTATAGTGGATAATAATTAATATAAGGGAAAACACATTAATATGCCTGAAATAAAAAAAAGCGCGGATTTTTTGAATCATCCATTCAGGGGGAGACACGTCTTCGTCTTCTTCCTTCAACCCTGTACATTTACCTGCGGATTTATATCCGCAGCTAAATTCGTATGTCCATCCTAAAATTAGTTCTAGGCTATGAAAACAAACCCCAAGACCATTGTTGTGCTCGTCTACCTTCCCTGGTTACGTCCATGTCCATAAATGACATCAATTTTTCCTGTAAAAGAAATGCCCAAAAAACAAGCTACGAAACCCTAGGTTCGGTTATAGGGCTATAGTACATATAAATGCAATCAAACAATGCCAAAAGTTAAGAAATTTCATAAGCATCATGAATATGCAAAGATTTTGTAAGAAAAGCGCAAGAATGTGGAGTTACGATTTTGAATACAGGGCGGTATTTTGAGATACTTACAGTGCGATTGAGAGGGTGTGAGAGCTTGCTTTTGATTGCAGGAGGTTCAGTGATTGTCCAGCAAGCGATTAGTGTGGAGTTTTGCCTTTGAAAACGCCTCCAAGCTCGATTTCAGTTTCACACTTTTTTGGTCAATTTTCAAGTTATGTTCTTGAGGTTCTTGCAGTCTCTAGCCCTTGATCTCGTGTGCTTTGGCTTGTATAAGTAATATGCAATGCATTAGGTCAACAAATGTGGGCTGAATCCTTCCAAATCAATGCCTTGAGATTGGATTTGATCCTCCATTGAAAGCTTTCCAATTTTGCCAAAAATCCAATCTTTTTGCACATGGAATGCTTGATACGAGTTTGATCATGACATTGATGATGATTAGGTCCTGAAAATAGAAAAAGATCTCATGTAATCAAGTTTTGTGATTTTATTTGATTTAAATTAATTTAAAATGAAATAATTCAATAAAAAATCAAATAAAATAGAAAAATTGATAAATGGACACAAGGCTGAAGCTAGGACACGTGTGTAGTGTGACAAGATCAAATCAAGTGGAAAAGAATGGGCCCATTTGACAAGATTTGAAGTTTTGGGGATAGTTGACTTTTGGCAATTTTGCAAAAATGCCCAACTTCAACAATGCATAACTTCTTCAATTTTGATCTTTCGGAATTGTTCTTGGACTTTTTAGAAAGCTTGAGATGTCCTCTAACCAAACCTTTTGGTCTCATCGAATTTTGATATTCCATGCTCAAGTTATAAGCTTTGGCAAAAAAGGTGTTTTTGTTGACTTTAAAAAATGACCTATAATGTCCAAATTTGTAACTTCTTGTGAGTGCATTTTCTGATCTTGGGGTATGAAGATGGATCGTAGGAAATTGCATCCTCTTCAAAATGAGCTTTGGATTGGTCATTTCTCATAAAGTATGAGAAAGTTATGCTTGGTCAACGTTGAGTTGACTTTTCCTATAAAACCCTAATTTTGCAACTTTTGAGTCTTGATGAATTTTGAGCAATCCTTGATGAATCATGATCAACCCTTGATCAAATGATGAAATATCCTTCAAAATGAGAATGTTGACAAAAAATCTTGAAGTTTGACTATTTGTAGGTCACAGTTGACTTTTGCCCTAGCACAGTCGATTTTTGGACCCTTTGAGCAATTGACTGAGCAAACTTCCTCTGCAAGGCTTGAAATTTGACATGGATGAACTTGAGAACATATTAGGACATTGGGGAGCACTTGAGGTCATTTGGATGAAAGGACCTTGATGCAACACAAAACCCTAATTTGAGGTTGACTGCCTTAGGAGATAGCTTGACTGTCCAACTCTTGAGCAACCTTGAGCAACTTGGAGATTTTTCTTGCAATGTCTTGGGAAATATGAGAGGGAAAATTTTGGGGTACAACAATATGCATGGTACATTAAGGTTTGGTTCACTTTTTAGTGGGATAGAAAAACAATATTGTGAATTGGACGTAAGGATTGACATTCATTTGTTTTCTCAACAAATTATGCCAAGTTCGAAAACTTTGGATCATTTCAAACTCCGCTTTAAACTTTTGGATGTTTCATATGATGATTTGTTTCAAATGTTCAAAATTAAAGATGTTCGATTATAAAATTGACCCTTGATGGATGACTTTTGGACTGAGTCACGTGGACTTTCGTATGGGCATTTTACCATTTCCACAAGTTAAGCATACATTTAGATTTGCACATGGAACTTGAAAAATCTTAAGTATGGGGAAGATTTGAGATGCAAATCATTATAAATAATTAAATACAAGGCTGTGTTCTATATCACCAAAGGCAATTTTATATCAAGATTACAAAAAGAGAATCTACATAAAAACACACGCCTAAAGCATAGTCCTTAATATGTTAACCAATCCCCTAAACATGTGCCCATTTAGAACCATATACACCACCAGTCTTCATCCTCTTCATCATCCCTAGTCTTCCATTAGCCCCCCACTTAAATTCCACTCAAATACTTGAGCTCTCCTGCAACATTCTCGAACCTGCATAAAAAAATAGTACATCAATTCATACAATGCTATCCAATAAATACCAATTTAACCTTGCACAAATCAGTTAATCAATACTTTAGCAACTCTGCACATACAACCTCTATTAGTTCACAACCAGTTTAATAATGCATCAACCAGGTCGTAAAACTATAAGAAAGATTCGATTGTCAGGTCAGCAAATAAATTCAGAAGAAAAAACCCAAACCCATTTTCAATCCTCACCTTCTATTGCGTAACTAACTTCCAATAATAAACCCTCTAACCACCTAACCGATTTATAACAAACTCCCAAACCAAATTAGGAAACCGGGGGTGAAGTCATAACAGAAAATTAGCAGAAAGAAGATTATTGAGGAAATTAGAAAAGACTCAGTAGCAAAAAAAGCAGAGGAAATAAATCAAAATCAGTTCAACAAGAATTCTGTCAGTTCTCACTCAAATCGATCCTCACCATCCATAATTTTGTAACTAACTTTGATCTAAAAGCTCGGATAAATGGAAGCATGAAAAACTTTTCTACTCTACATAATATATATAAAACAGAAAATCTTACCGATTCAAATCATTTTTCTTCAGCATCCGGAAGAATCATCACAAAAAACCAGAGAAAACTCTCTCATCTCTTGGCTTCTCCTCTCTAAGTTCTCGTGAAGTTTATCTTTAATCTTCAAACATCATCACTAGCAAGCTCTCTCTCTCTCTCTCACTCAAGAACTCTCTTCAATCTCCAGCTTCACTGATAAACTTCATCTTCTCCACAACTCTTAACATACTGCAACTACTGCATCTTTTTCAATCTCTTCTTCATCATACAACTTCGATCTTCATCTCAAACCTCATCACCTCCACAACATCTTCGTTTGTCTTTTCTGCAATAACAAATAACACAACAATGATATCAGACAAGAACACGTTTAAAACACAAAAGAAATCACAAACGAGAAGAAGTTGAGTAGAAGAAGAGATTGAGATAAAATTTGCATACTTGAGTTTCGAAGATGCACCAGACATTCTCCGGTTGGTAAACGCCTTTCTTTCTTCCTCTTCACCTACTTTTGTTACCGCCAGAATTATTTTTCGAAAACGCGAAGTAGTTAATGGTGAGCTTGAAACGAAATCAAGCGGAAAGGTGGAATCAAAAGCGAGAGTGAATCGATGAGTCAGAGCGTGAAGTTATAGTGTTGTGAAACGATGGAGGAAGGCTTAGTAGATGAAGAAGAAAATATGATACGGAGATGTTGTTCGCAACAGCGGAAAATGATTGAACCGATCAGACACATGTGAGATCATGTTTGAAGTTTGAAGTGGAGAAGATATGGTTGAGGCCACGGCGTCGGGGATCGCCAGAAGATAAGTTCGAACCACGCCGTTCAAGAGAGAGAGAGAGAGAGAGAGAGAGAGAGAGAGAGAGAGAGAGAGAGAGAGAGAGAGAGAGAAAGAGAGGGAGGAATTTCGTCTATTTCACGCAGAAGCTTGAGAGTCACAAACTCTGAACCCTATCCCTTTTGATTAAACACATCGTTTTTCTTTGTAACTCTTTCACTCAGTTTTTTTAATTCTTTTTTAAATCAAAATAAGCTGAATAATAATAATTAAGATTAAAATCTGATGTTAGCTTGGACTTGGTGTTGAGTGTTGGGCCTTTCTTCACCCTTGATAGGCCCGTGGCCTTTTTTTGGAGCCTATAACATTGTAAAAAAAGCTGCTTCATAGACCATATTGTATGGGCCTCTGTGCCTAGAGCTGGCTACACAGTACCCCCTGCTTACAGATTGCACCCCCTATTTTTTATTATTTTCATTTTTGTTTGGATAATTTTGATAATTGTTTTGTTTGAGCCTTTTTCACATAATAAAAAAATAACAAATACATTAATAAAAATGTTAGATTTTCTTATTTGTTTTTTTTTGGAATTAAATCTTGATTATCTGATTACTTGAGATTTGTAATTCACCTTTGCTTGTTGAGATCTAAGTCTTGTGCAAGTTTATTGTGTGATATGCGGATATGCTCGAGATTTCAATTGTGATTTATTTTCACATCGATGATGCTTCGACACTTATTCAGAACATTGGATTTCTGACTCTTTTCTTTGATTGATGAAGCTTTCACGAAGATCATCAGGTTTCTTTGTTTTGATAGGCTTTGCTATAGATTAATATTCGTTTGGTATTTTCTCTTTTTTACCTGATTTCAACATTTATCGCTTTCTAGAGATCATGTGAAGTAGGAAGCAGTAAATAAAGAGTGTGCGCCTGCAGTAGTTGTTTAAAGACCCGTAGCAGGCATTCCGCACTTTATTTGTTATATGTGTTGTGCGTATGTTTGTTTCCTTGGTTGTTGATAGATGAGTCACTCAACTTAGGAATTGAGATCACTACTTCGCTCTCATTGCATGTTCCCCATAGGATAGTTTTGTTAGAGTTTCTTTGGAATGCTAGCCTAGATAGGATCTCTCTAGGTGTACTCTCTTTAGCCTTTTAATTGTTGATTTGTTTTCCTATCTTGATCCTCAATATCTTGGTTGGGCATTTGACTTGAGTTAGCACGAGCTTCTCATGACATATTGTGTGTTCTCTCTTGAGCTTATTGGCTTGCTTGCTTGATTTCATCTTTGTGTGTATGTTTTGAGATGATATAGACTCAGCATGTTCTCTTAGGAGCTCTTGATTCATTTATAGATGATGATTTGAGATAGACATAATTTTAGGTGATTGACCCTTGCTATGCTCCTTTAGGACTTCTTGATTCATCTATAGATGATGATTTAGGATAGACATTAGGATTGTTATCCAAGCATGTCAACATAGGGTAGAGATTTCCCTTCAAAACTCAACTTTAGGATCAATCATTGTATGATAACATTAGGGATAGATTTAGGTTAGTCTCCCCTTAGACATTTCTTTTTCTTTTGCATTCTTTCATTAAAACAAAAACTTCTTTTTCTGGAAAACTTTAAAACACTTAAAAAATTACTGATGAGAATCATACCTTTGTTGAGCATAGGAGATGATAAGCGGGTTTCTTCTCGATCTTATTTCTCTTCCATTCTAAGCCTTGGTGTGGTTCAAGTCTCAAAGACTCATTTCATGAATAATTGGAGAAGTGGCTAATATCTCTCTCTTGAGATCAACTAGCTTTTATCCACAACAAAAACACCAACCAACACAAACTCTTTTTGCCTACGGGCTTTTCTTTCAAAATGTTTCCAAAGAACATATTAATTGACTTCTGCGCTGAAGCGTAAGTATCCAAAGGCCGAGTTGCGACAGAAGGCCAAAATAATATTGTTCATTAAAAAATACAAACAAACAGAACCTTTGAAGCCGAACTACGACTGATCTGATTCCTTAAAAGGGATACTTAGGCATTGGGGTAGGGCCCGAACGAGCAGAACTTTTATTTTCCCTACATTATTTTCTCTTTTCTTTTGCATGCATTCCCTATACAACTTAGATATAGATTCTTACACACCCCTAGATTATAATCATAAGAGTGGATACCGTAGAGTACTACGGGCGTGTGGGGTTCTAATACCTTCCCCTCGCGTAACAGACTCCCTTACCCGTATCTCTTGGTTGTTCGACCTTGATTTCACCCTTCTCAGGTTTACTCAATGTTTACCTTTCCCTTCTTGTACGATAGAAAATGTTCGATGGCGACTTTATTAATTTCATCTTGATGATTTGTTTAGCCGGTTCTTTCAACTGACGACTTAATTGGGGAAAGGTCGACCAAATGCTGGTCCATCCCGAAGTCGATCCTAGCTCTTGTTTTATTTTCTTTGGGTGTTTATTTTTATGCTTTTAGTTTATTCATTTGTACATGTTTATCTGAGCATATGTTTGCATTGCATTTTATTGCTTTCTATATTGGTTATCTGTTATGCTAGATTCTGGTTTTCCATGTTGGGTGGGTGTTACTATATAGGTAAAAGGCCCAATACCCAGGCCAAAGTGCACTAGGACACTAGGAATAGAGTGGGGGCATGACGACTATGGGACGTGGTCCGATTAGTGCAGTTATGTCATATACCATGCTCAGATGAGGTTCAAATGAATTACTATCGACACTCACGTCTGTGGGTAAGGCGGTAGTACTTTCAAGAGGACCCGTGATTTTGAGTTACCATTGGCCTACCCTAACCTAGTCTTTACCCGTAAGTGGGGAGGGAATAATCTTTACAGGTGCAAGTGGTGACTATTTGTTATGATGGTGACCGTATGTTCTGTTGGTGACCTGGTTCTTTGGTTATGTTCTGGACCTTTGATCCTGATATACTCAGTGTGTTCAGAAACTATACAACAATTACTCAGCAGATGTATACATCAGTTATCCAGAGGATTGTACATATGTTATCCGATTGTACAGTTGTTATCCATGTTGTGCTGAACTTTTGAACCTATGGTGTTGCATTGCATCAATCATTATAAGAGTTTATTTCTCTTATCATCCAAGCATTCTCATGCATTTCATTCATTTCAGCCTGGATATTCATTGCAACTTGGTTTCTTATTTAGAATCTCAAGACCGCAAGATTGACTTCCCGACATCACCGTCATCATGGATCAACTTCAGGCAGATATAATTGAGATGGGAACGCGTATGAAGACTCAGATGGGTTGATTCATGCAGCTTATTCAGAACCTCGCTCTTGGACAAGAAGAGTTGAGACAAAATGTTCAGAGGGTTGCAATTGCTACTGTTGATCATGTTAATCCACCAGGTGTTACCCTTAACCAAAGGGAGGTTCCTTTGAATCAGAATGTCAAGAATACCATTCAGATCCCTGTCAAAGGAGCTCCTCACTATGAGAATATTTATGAGACGTCATATGACACTTTTAGGTTTCCGATTGATGGGACTAAGTTTGGGAAAAATCTTTACCTCCTAGAGGAGAGGATGAAGGCTATTGAGGGTCGTAACTCCCTTGGTTTAGACACTGCTAGTTTGTGCTTGGTGCCTGGTATCAAGATTCCTGCTAAGTTCAAAGTCCCCACTTTTGAGAAGTATAAAGGTACCACTTTCCCGATCACTCACATCAAATATTATTGTAATAAGGTGGCTCATTATATAGAAAATGATAATCTTCTAATGTACTTCTTTCAGGATAGCCTCAATGAAGCATCTCTTGAGTGGTATACTCAGCTTGAAAGAACTAACATCCAAACTTGGAAGGAATTAGCTGAAGCTTTTTTCAAAAAATATAGTTTCAACATAACATGGCTCCTACCAGAATTCAACTCCAAGATTTCACTCAGAAGGCTGATGAATCATTCAAACAATATGCACAGAAATGGAGAGAACTAGCTTCCAGAGTTCAACCTCCTCTTTTAGAGCGATAACTTGTTGATATGTTCTTAGATACTCTGCAAGGTTCTTATTGGACGAATGGATGTGCTTCAGAATTTTCAAAAATGATTATGATAGGAGAACAAATTGAGCATGGTCATAAGACTGTTAAGGTCTAGGATGTTGCTACTACTTTTGAACTCCCAGATCAGAATGATAAAGAAACTAGTGCAATCTCCAAGGACGAGGAAGCTCCTAATTATCCTTAATTTCATATTCCTTGTAAGGTGAAGGAAGCCACTCCTAGCCATGATGATCTACATATTTGTGCTATAATTGTTAACCAACCAGCGGTTCCCCTATTTAGTATGCTCCTCGGTAGCAAACCTATCGACATAGACGTATGCAACAGGGTAGGAAAAGGGACATGAAGCCAAAAAGAGTTTTCGAAATTGTTCTCATGACTTATGGCCAGTTGTTCCCTCAGTTGCTCAAACTTTCTTTGGTGGAACCCAAGCCATTAAAGCATGCCATTCCTCCTTATGCTGTGGATTTTGATCCTAATATGCAATGTGATTAACACGCTGGGGCACTAGGTCATTCCATTGAAGACTGCAGGGCCTTCAAAGAAAAGGTGCAAGACCTGCTTGATGCAAAAGCTATCAGTTTCAGGCGAGCCGGTCAGATTTAAAGTCTCCTTTGACTTAATTAATGTCAAG